GTGCTGTCATAGTATAGGGAGAGCAACTAGGGTCACATAACAATGTATGTATAAACGTTTGTATGAGAGACTGACTTGAATTGAAAACTTTCACTTAAACAGTAAAAAAAATATTTAGAATTAAAAAAAAAATTACTCATGACACATTTGGGAAGTAGAAATTAACCCATGTTTGCTTTTTGGAGATGCATTTTTACATTACATAACTTCCCTTACTGACCCCATTAAAGCAGCCAACTGAGGTCTCAGTCCACCATCCTAACTGGCTTCACCTGATAATTAATTAGCTTCACTCAAAAAGATGTGTTTCACGTGCTGGATGTGAGAAGTCTATTACAGTGGGCTTAAAAAGCAAATTTACACTATATGAAAAATATGTTCTCCTTCATATGTTATATCAACTTTACTTCTCTAGTAGGTACAATTTTCCCTTAAATCTAGACAGTTTTTATATAAATCAAAATCTCATACAAATCATGTAAGTTTTTTATAAATCATCTTTCATATAAATGAAAATTCTAATAATCTGGTGGTTTGCTTTTCCTCTATCAATTATCTCTCTAGTATGGAAGACGGAAGGTAAATTCAACTTTTACCACTTCTACAAACCAAATTTCACCTCTGTAACATTAAAAACAGAACTTACTTTATATTCATCCAGTATCACACAACAGCTTGCTTCGAACTCAACTCTAAATTCAAAACATTAATTTAACTTGAATATTTAAATGGTATTTTCTTAATCCTGAAGAAATTACTTACCACAAATTCTCCATAATCAAACTGATGTCTTTGATTTAGATGACTAACAAAATTTCTAGTAATCTGGCTAGGATCTCCCCAAGGAAGAGACACACAAATAGGACACGTCTATGAGAAAGAGATTATTTTAGATAAAAAGTAATGAAAATAATCAAAACACTATTATTATTGAGGGTATTAAAACAACACAGGCTTATGTTTCCTAAAATAAAGCATTTCTAAGGGCCAAATTCCACAACTAGGTAATTTCCCAACCAAATTACCTTAGATAAATAAATTACACTCATCTAACAGAATACAATAAAAAGAGGTATCTCAGACATTCTATTACTTAATCTCTACGTAACTTTCAACAGAAATACCACATCCGGCCCTTACTAACAACAATTATAATGATAAAACTAGAAACCCATTCCTATGAGTCAATTCCAACTCACAGTGACCCTATAG